ATCATATTTCAGTCATCGTGGTCAGTGAATGGACATAAGTCAAATGGTCACTTTGAGGGATAAGATTCTTATTGAAAGACTAACAGGGTATGGAGCAGGTAAGTGGTGCGGTGGATAGAGCACTGGCCCTGCATTCAGGAGGACCTGAGTTCAAATCCGGCCTCAGACATATAACACTTACTAGCTGTGTGACCTTGGGCAAATCACTTAACCCCACTGCCTAGCAAAAAACAAATAAACAACAAAAGAATAACATGGTAAAGTTGAGGGTTAAAGCAATTATGTTTTATATTTTGGATACTATTTTGTTTGAATTTGGCAAATGAAATCCTAGGTGGGACTGGCATAGGAATTTTTATGAAAATGATTGTTATATTTTACTGATTTCCCCTTCATTTTACTTATTAGCTCACTGTTATAATTAATTGTACAGCTATTCACACCTGAAAGAACTTGAGGAGCATTCAAGATTCTCCATGCCTCTTCTACACCTGACATTGTTTAACGGGGGCAAATGGCAGGAAGCATCTGTGACTTTACAAAATCCAGTTGTAGAGCTTATAACTCAAAGCTTTGATTTTTTTAAGTCAAGGTATGGCTAATTTTTGATGCCAAGCCCATAGAACCTTGAATGAAGTATTGCCAGTCTTACAGTTTTGTGGGCTTGAACCTGGTGAAGTGAGCTGTCCATGGTACAAGACCCAGAATTTTTTTGGTTTATTTTTTAAAAATTTATTTATTTTTAATTTTCAATATTCACTTCCACAAGATTTTGAGTTCCAGATTTTCTCCCCATCTCATCCCTCCCCCCACCCCAAAATGGCATGCATTCTCAATACCGCTTCCCCTAATCTGCCCTCCCTTCTATCTCTGCCCCCCTTCTCTTATCCCCTTCCCCTTCAGTTTTCCTGTAGGGAAGGACAGATTTCTATACTCCATTTCCTATACATCTTATTTTTCAGTTGCATGTGAAAACAGTTTTTTTTAACATTTGTTTTTAAAACTTTCGGTTCCAAATTTTCTCCCTTCCTCCCTCCCCACCCACCCTCATTGAGAAGACAAGCAATTCAATACAGGTTATACATGTGTAGTCATGCAAAATACTTTCATAGTAGTCATGTTGTGAAAAACTAAGTATATTTCCCTTAATCCTATCCCACCCCCATTTATTCTGTTCTCTCATTTGACCCTGTCCCTCCACAGAAGTGTTTGCGTCTGATTAGCCCCTCCCGTAATCTGCCCTCCCCTCTATCTTCGTGCTCTCTTGTCCTCTTCCCCCCTGTTTTCCTGTAGTGTGTGTTATTCTCTCCTTAAGCCAAATCTGATGAGAATAAGATTCACTCATTCCCTCTCACCTTCCTCTACTTCCCCTCCACTGTAAAAGCCTTTTCTTGTCTGTTTTATGTGAGATAATTTACCCCATTCTACATCTCCCTTTCTCCTCCTCTTCGTATAATCCTCTCTCACCCCTTAATTTCATTCTCCAGACATCATCCCTTCATCTTCAACTCACCCTGCGTCCTCTATCTATCTTATCTATTTATCTATCTGTCTGTCTGTCTATATACATACATATATTTTTTTTTCCTCTCCAGCTACTCTAATACTGACAAAGGACTCATGAGTTACAAATATCATCTTTCCAAGTAGGGATGTAAACCATTCAACCTTAATGAGTCTATTATGATTTCTCTTTCCTGCTTACCTCTTTGTGTTTCTCTTCAGTCTTGTATCTAAAAGTCACATTTTCTATTCAGCTCTGGTCTTTTCATCAAGAATTCTTAAAAGCAGGGGCAGCTAGGTGGCGCATTGGATAAAACACTGGCCCTGGATTCAGGAGGATCCGAGTTCAAATCTGACCTCAGACGCATAACACTTACTAGCTGTATGACCCTGGGCAAGTCACTTAACCCCATTGCCTAGCCCCTCCCCCCCCTCAAAATGCTTGAAAGTCCTCTATTTCACTGAATTTCCATTTTTCCCACTAAAGGATTATGCTTAGTTTTGCTGGGTGGGTGATTCTTGGCTGTAATCCTGTCTCCTTTGCCCTCCGGAATATTATATTCCAAGCCCTGTGGTCTCTCAATGTAGAAGCTTCTAAGTCTTGTGTTGTCCTGATTGTATGTCCACAATACTTGAATTGTCTTTCTGACTGCCTGCGATATTTTTTCTCCTTGACCTGGGAACTCTGGAATTTGGCTACAGTATTCCTAGGAGTTTTCCTTTGGGGATCTCTTTCCAGCAGTGATCGGTGGATTCTTTCCATTTCTATTTTGCCCTCTGGTTCTAAAATATCAGGGCAGTTTTCCTTGATAATTTCTTGAAAGATGATGCCTAGGCCTTTTTTTTGATCATGGCTTTCAGGTAGTCCAATCACTTTTAAATTCTTTCCTCTGGATCTATTTTCCAGGTCAGTTGTTTTTCCAATGAGATATTTCACATTGTTTTCTATTTTTTCATTCTTTTGAATTTGTTTTATAGTGTCTTGATTTCTCATAAAGTCACTAGGTTCCAATTGCTCTATTCTAATTTTTAAGGAAGTATTTTCTTCAGTGATCTTTTGGACTTCTTTTTCCATTTGGCCAATTTTGCTTTTTAGGGCATTCTTCTCCTCATTGGCTTTTTGGACCTCTTTTGCCATTTGGGTTAGGGTATTTTTTAAGGTGTTATTTTCTTCAGTATTTTTTTGGGTCTCCTTTAGCAAGCTGTTGACTTGTTTTTCATGATTTTCTTGTGTCACTCTCAGTTTTTCCTCTGCTTCTCTTACTTGCTTCTCATACTCCTTTTTGAGCTCTTCTATGGCCTGGGACCAATTCATATTTTTTCTTGGAGGCTATGGATGTAGGAGCTTTGACTGTGTTGTCTTCTTCTGGTTGTATGTTTTGGTCTTCTTTGTCACCAAAGAAAGAACCTACGGTCAGACTTTTTTTTTACACTGTTTGCTCATGATCCCAGCCAGTTACTTGAATTTTAAACTCTTTGTTAAGGTAGGGATCTGCTTCCAGTGTGGAGAATGTACTATCCCAAGCTTTGGGGGTTTTGTGCAGCTGTTTTCAGAGATACTTCTAGGTACCTGAAAATTTTCAGTTCTTCGAGGCATTTATCCTTTCTTGTCCTGTGCTTTGGTCTACGAGTGACCACAAGCACTCTTTTCCGTGCTGGAGCTGTGAGGAGGATTTTCTCTCCACAGCCACTACAAGCTCCACCACGCCAGTGCTCCTTCTTGCCCCCAGGACCACCACCCACAATTCTGACCCAGATCCAAGGATGGGCAAAGCAAGAGAATCCTGCCCCAGCAGAGAGATCCCTGCAATCCCTATCTGATCAGCCACTGCATTCCCCTCTGGGCCAGAAGCTCTGGAGGCAGCTGCTGCCCTGGGCTAAGTTCGGGAACCAGGGCTGGAATCCCACCAAACTTCTTTCTCCCCACTGCACAAACAGACTTTTTGCACTGACCTTCTAAGTTGTCTTTGGCATTCATGGGTTGAAAAGTCAGGAAGCTGCCACAGCTGCTGGCGATTTAGTCCTCTGAGGTCTGCCTTGCCTATGTACCCACGCCAAGCTGTGCTCCTCTAACAGCCTGGCGCCGTATACCTTTCCAATCAACCATCCAGGTTGTCTTGGGCTGGAAAGTTGTTTCACTCTGCCTTTTTGTGGGGTCTGCTGCTTTAGAATTTGTTTAGAGCCATTTTTACAGGTATTTGGAGGGGTTTGGGGAATAGCTCAAGTAAGTCACTGCTTTTACTCCATCATCTTCAATGGTATATCAAGACCCAGAATTTTAATCCAGGTCTAGGACTTCAAATCAACTCTACCAGAAAAAGAAAAATATCCCACTAACTGGATTGACCATATTATTTGGAAAATTTAGAAGTTTCTGCTTTTTGTTATGTTGTTGTTATTATTATTACTGTTATTTTGCCTTTTGGTGAGGCATTCGGGGTTAAGTGACTTGTCCAGGGTCACACAGCTAGTGTCACGTGTTTGAGGCTGGATTTGAACTCAGGTCCTCCTGACTCCAAGGCCAGAGCTCTATACATTGTGCCACCTAGCTGCCCTGTACGTTGTCATTATTACTACCTTGTTTGCCTTGTGTCTTGGTGACATGTATCCCATTGTTATACTCCATTTTGTCCTTATTGTAACTTTACTTTTCCTATTTTAAAAAAAGATGTCTAATCCCTCCCCCATGGAAGGATTGTCACCATCAGCTGTTATAGTAGTTGTATGTTCATGTTTGCAACGGCTGCCAAGAGAGATACATATCTGGATGAGGATAATGAGGATCATGTTAGGAGCTAGGATTTATATAGAGTTAGAGGTGTATTTAGGGTTAGAGTCAGAGGTTTGGGTTAGGGTTGGAGTTGGGTGTAAGGTTGCCAAAGTGATTGACATTTGCCCCTCACAAGGAACCCGGGAGATAGGGATTCTTAGGATCCTTGCTTAAGAGAAAGGAAACTGACTGAGGACCAGGGAGATTATAAACCTTACCCAGGTTTGTACAGCTGACGAGTTTCTGAGGCATGATTTGAAATTTTGTCTTGCTGAGTGCTTTATCAGCTATTCTACCTAGTCATTGGTAAACAATTGTGATTTTAGCCTCCAAATGAAAATATATATGGGAGAAAATTTTTTTGTCATCATTTCTTGCTTTATAATTTTTGTGTAATAATTAAAATATAGATTATATTGAGATTGTTATGCAAATTTTTGTATACTTTATGAAACGTTATCCCTTGTGGAGAAACTCATTCTCCACAATAGTGACTTTTTTATTATAAAGTCTCTCAATTTGAATTTTGGGAATGCACACTGACCACAAATTACTTTAAAAAAATTGTATACTTTAAACTTCTTCTTCTCCTTTTTATTTTTAGGTAGAAACCACTGGAAACTCTCCACAGATCTAAATATATATATATACACACACATATAATATATACTTATATATAAAACATACACATATTTATTTATATCCATATGTTGCTCTTCCTTTATAGCTGATTTTCTAGACAATATGCTTTTGCGAACGTTGGGAAAGTTGAATGTGAACCGCAAGAAGGAAGACAGTGTGATTGCAGCGCACACACCGCGGCCAAAGGTCTTGCAATGCAAATGCCATTATTACTGTCCTGAAGACTCCATCAACGATACTTGCAGGTTGGTGGTTCAGGCAGTTTAAATATAGATCTTTAACGGTAGTAGTGCACTAATTTAGAGGCACTAGGGTACAGTGGACAGAGCATTGACTCTGGAGTCAGAGGATAGGGGTCTAAATCTTTGGGCAAGCCAGTTAAACCCCCTGAAACTTAGTTTCTTCATATGTAAAATGAAGAGGTTGGATTAGACTTCTGAGGACCCCTCTAGCTCTAAATCTGTGATTCTCTTTTTCTGTTACAAATACAAGAAAAAAGCCTTTCATCTTTCTGTGGAATTAATGATTATTGTGTAAATCAGAAAATCCTACATAAGAGTTAAAAATTTACCCTAGCTATGTTATTTTATTTCTCTGTAGATTTCAGTGAGAAATTTGGAAACCAGAACTTAGAAGTCAGATTCATTATATATCAGAAATTAGACTTTTGACCCTGAAAGACCAAGATCGTTTACCACTGTACTGAAATTATAATTTATGTCACGGTCATGTGACAGCCATAAAATGAAAAAAATATGTTGGTTGTATTTTTGTTTTGTGCTGTCCAGAGTGGCCCACTTCAATCCAAGGCCACTTAAATTCATCAGCTCTCACTGCCACATTTTCCAACAGTGTTCAACACTTTAACTGTAGTAGCTACACTGAAGTTGTACTGTCCGGCACTGTATTCTGACATCCTTCTAACCACCTTTATTTACCTTCGATATTTAAAAACAAAATTATTGCAGTATAGCCCAAACATTTAGATGCCTCCTCAGCTGGAACCGCTTTTGTCTAAGTATCTATTCAGTAAAGGGAGGTTTAATACATTTAAAAATTTTTGTTTTCAACACATTGGCATACCAACACATCAGTTTAGAGGAAGGGTTCTTAATTGTTTTCTCTCATAGTGTCCTTTGACAGTCTGGTGAGCCCTATCTACCTCTTCTTAGAATATTGTATTTAAATGTTTAAAATAAATATATACGATTATATCAGAAACCAATTATATTGAAATAAAGATGCAACTTTCCCCCTGTAAGTCCATGGACTCCCTGAAATCTATCTACAAACCCATTGGTGGTGGTCCGCAAGTTCAGAATCTTTGGTTTAGAGAGAATTCCCAAGTGAGGCTGATTAGGTCTCATAGTGGAACTTGAAGTAATGAATGAGCCCCCTTTTCTCTTCAATCACTTTCCCCCTCTAAAAGATAATGTCTATTCTTCAACAGACCACATTGGTTTGGTTTGTTTTTGTTTTTGTTTTTGTTTTTAAGAACAGGAATGAGTTGCTTTCATAAGTAGGAATGTTTCTAAGATGGAAATATATTTTATATTTTCTACAAATTTAACTAGGAAGATTTCCTCTTATAGCAAAATTTGATGTTCGTTCAGGGTGGTAGTATTTCAAGCACAGAAAGCATTTCCCTGCTGTGACCTGTACTTTTGGATGGTTAGGCAAAGAGTGGATGAGCACATGTCAGGGAAAAGGGCTTTTCAAAAACGTCTAGCCATGTGTGGAAATATTTAAATAATGTTTCATTCGATGTAAAGCTTAAAATAACAATATCTGAATTAACTTTGTTTCACAGGATATGTTAGTAGGCATTTAATAAGTATTGTTTGATAATGGCTGCTTACATATTCCTTGGAAATAAGTTTTGTGAATCTAGATCAGACACAAATACTTTTTCTTTTTTTTTTTTTAATTCTATTTGAGTTCCAAAATCTCTCTCCCTCCTGTTCTTCCCCATCATCGAGCTAGGCAAGTAATGTGATATCAATTATAGATGTGAACACATGCAAAACATATCTCCATATTAACCGGGTTGCAAAAATATAAAATAAAAAGCCAGAAATATAAATGGAAACAAGTATATTTCAGGATTCACTGAGAATTCATCAGTTCTTTCTCTGGAGGCAGATAGCATGTTTCATTCACCATGGGTTCTTTGAATTTGTTTTGGATCGCTGTATTGATTAGCTGAGTCTTTCACAGTTTGTCATCCTTCCAGTGTTGCTGTTTCTGTGTCCAGTGTTCTCCTGGTTTTGTTCATATGAGACTTCTCAGGTATTTCTAAAACCATTTTGCTTGTCATTTCTCATAGAGCAGTGTTTTTCCATCACAATCTTGTACTACAACTTGTTCAGCCGTTCTCCAATAGATGGGTACCTTTTCAATATCCAATCCCTTGCCACCACAAAAAGAGCTGCTACAAATATTTAGGTACATATAGGTCCTTTTCCCTTTCTTTAATCTCTTTGCCACGCAGACCTAGTAGTGATATTGCTGGGCCAAAGGTTATGCATGGTTTTATAGCCCTTTGAACATAGTTCCAAATTGTTCTCCAGAATGGTTGGACCAGTGCACAACTCCACCAACAGCGTATTGCTGTCTCTATTTTTCCACATCCCCTTCAGCATTTGTCATTTTTCCTTTGCTGTAATGTTAGCGAATCAGGTAGAGATGAGGTTGGTACCTCAAGAGTCATTTTAATTTGTATTTCTGTAATTAGTGGTGATTTAGATCATTGTTTTATGTGACTATTGATAGCTTTGATTTCCTTTGTCCTATAATACCTCAGTTTATAAAGACTACAATAGCAGAGATCAAACATCCTAATGGACAGTGCAATGGGGCCAGTGATAAATGTCTTTGTGAAACCAAGGCCCAATTCATGAAGATTGCTGGGGAGAACAAGAGCCTCTGCTTGCAGCCTATACTATAAATTCTTGGGGGGGGGGGAACTTCCATGCTGATTCAATTCGATTTCTATGTAAATAGGAAAACAAGAAAAATTAAAGAACGTAAGGGAAAAAAACTGAATCCTATTAACCTGCAACACAGAAGAATCCAGATAAATGCTACTTTCTGGATTTCCCATTTTTTTCCCAAGGTACTGAACATTTTCCACTGGGGTGGGAGCAACTCAGAGGTGGGACTTATTCTTTCACCAATATATGAAAATCCCATGGTAGAAACTTCCCCTACTATTCAGACTGACAACTCTTCTACAATTTCTAGTTATAAAGATTTGCCTGGGTCACTTAACTTTTAAGTGACTTGCTTTGACTAGCTAATACAGTTACAGGAAGACTCAAACTCAGGTCTTCCAGACACCAGGCTCGTCATTCATCCACCATGCTTCTCCACCATGCTTCACCACCATGGTGACTCTCAAAATTGGCATATGATGCATGAAGTCCTTTCCTGAAAGCCACGGCATAATTTGGAGTCAAGGGCAATAAATATGGAAATAATCAGCCTGATTCTCTGACTTTGAATTTATATGGGAGCGAGCAAATAGGACTTAATATTTCATCTTGGAATATACATGTATATATACATGTGGACCTAACACTAAAAGAGATAAACAAGGAGCCTCCATCTTGGTAAAAGGCACTATTAACGATGAAATGATATCCACACTAAATATATATGCATCAAATGGCATGTCATCCAAATTCTTAGAGGAAAAGTTAAATGAACTACAGGAGGAATAAGACAATAATATCATACTGGTGAAGGACCTCAATTTTTCTCTCTCAGAGCTAGAAAACTCTAACCATAAAATAAATGAAAAAGAAGCTAAGGAGACTGATAGAATTTTTGAATAGTTAGATATGATACACCCCCAGAGAATGAATGGGGAAGAAAAGGACTATCCTGTTTCTCAGCTGTACATGGCACTTTCACAAATACCAACTCATTATGTATTAGGAATTGGGCATTAAAAAGCTCACAAAAAAATAACCCAAAAAAAGCTGCAATATTAAATGCACCCTTTTCAGACCATAATGCAATAAAAATTATTTCCAGTGTAGGGCTATAGAAGAATACATTTTTTAAAAACCTGGAAACTAAATAATCTAATCCTAATGAATGAATGGGATGAAGAACAAATCATAGGAAAAAACCAACAATTTCATTAAAGAAGATGACAACAAGACAACATATCAAAATTTGAGGGATATAGCCAAAGTAGCACTTAAGGGAAATTTTACATCTCCAAATTCATACATCAAAAAAAGATATAAAGAAAAGATCAGTGAATTGGGCACGCAATTAAAAAAAAAAAAACAGAAAGGGCAACTACGTGGCACAGTGGATAGAGCACCAGCCCCAGATTCAGGAGGACCTGAGTTCAACTCCGGCCTCAGACACATAACACTTACTAGCTGTGTGACCCTGGGCAAGTCACTTAACCCTGCTGCCTTAAAAAAAAAAAACCTAGAAAAGAATAAATAAAAAATCCCCAATTAAATGCCAAGACAGAAATCCTGAAAATCAAAGGAGAAATTAAAGAGATTGGAAAGGGAAAAAAACCCATTAACTAACAAATAAAAATAGTAGCTGGTTTAATGGGGAAAAAAACCAAAACAAAAAGATAAGCCATTGGTTAATTTTATCTTTAAGAAAGGATGAAATCAAATCACCAGAAAGAAAAATGAAAATGGTGACTGTAATATCAATGAAGATGAAATTAAAGCCATTTGTGTCCAATTCTAAAAAACCAGGAAGAGCAAAAACAGAGAAGAAAAACTATAGACCAATTTCCCTAATGAATACTGATGCAAAAATTTTTCATAAAATACTAGCAAGGAGATGACAGCAATAAATTTCAAAGATCATATCCTATGACCAGGTGGGATTTATACCAGGAATGCAGGACTGGTTTTTTAGGTATCAAAACAATGTTTGTGTCATAAAAGGAATTTGGTAGGGCTCCTTTACCTATTTTCCCCAGGACTCTATAGAATACTGGGATTGATTGTTTCTTAAACGTTTGATAGAATTCATTTTTAAATCCATATTGGGTCCTGGAAATTTCTTCCTAGTCAGCTCATTTATGGGTTGTTGAATTTCTTTTTCTAAGATAAGGTTGTTTAAATTTTAAATTTTTTATTTTATCTTCTGTTAGCCTAGACATGTGAGAGAGAGAGTGTGTGTGTGTGTGTGTGTGTGTGTGTGTGTGAGAGAGAGAGAGAGAGAGAGAGAGAGAGAGAGAGACAGAGAAAGGGGAGGGACAGGGAGGGAGAGGTGAAGTGAATAATTACTGTATGCTCGTTCGTGATAACTAAAGCTGTCCCCTTCGCACGTCAAGAGACAGAGGGGCTATCCTTCCTTGGTACAATGCACTGATCCTGTTTTGAAGGGAAGTAAGTCAGAAACATTTCTCTGCCCCTTCCCCAACACATACTAGAACAATCTCATGTCCACATAAGCATCTTCTTTTCCTTTTTGATCTTTAGCACAGATGGCTACTGTTTCACTATGGTAGAAGAAGATGACTCTGGGATGCCTGTGGTCACTTTGGGATGTCTAGCATTAGAGGGCTCAGACTTTCAGTGCCGGGTAAGGGAATGCATTGGATCCTACTTGGGTTTTTTTTTTTTTTACTAGAGCTGTGATTTAATCAGTCAAATTACAAGCAGAAGAAGCAAGAAAAGCTCATCTGCCAGGAATGTAAAAGCCAAATGGTTAGAAGTCCCTGTGCGTTCTCAGCGATTTTCTGCTTTTACAAGCAGATGTTCCTATTGCTTTTAGTGGAGTGAAGCCCTTGCCTGTTCACTCCATCATTCCTGTTTGTATTCTATTTTGGGTGACTGGATTCTGCCAGCATTTCTCCTGAAGTTTCCACTAGGTGAGTTACATAATTCCAAGTAAGTCTAGTCATTCAGAATCGATTGGAAATAAAACAACTATATTATCCCCCCAAGTAAAATGTGAACACTTCACCAGAACGTTGCATGATGGCCTCTAATAGGAGCTACAGTTGTTATTCCTTTAAAAAGGACTGTTGTAATTCCAGATCCAATGTATTTATTTATGTAATAAATAAATGCCCAAAAGGACTCACTCAAGTTGGAAATTAAAGATCCTTCTTGAATTTTGGAGGAAAATGTTAATTAATATTTGCATCTGTATTTGCATTCTATTACAGGGCGTTTTTATTCGTCACCAAAGGGGGTCAATCAAATGTTGCAAAGAAAGGAATGAATGCAATAAAGACCTTCATCCTACACTGCCTCCTTTGAAAAATCAAGGTAAGAGGGAAGAAAGAATTCAGAGCCTGAACCATGCTGAAAACTATGTCCAATACAGTAATAAAAAAAAATCCCTGCAGATGTGAAGGTGCCCAGAAGTTGGTTGCGTTGCTGTAGGAGACAGAGATATGAAAGGGTGAAAATATTGTCCTGCAAACAGGCAGGCATACGATTCACCTATCAAAGAAATTTACTTGCACATTGCTCTGACTTTTCCAATTTCTCCAAGCTTACTGCTCTATTTCTCCATTCTTCCACCAAGATTCCAGAAGCTTATAGCATGTAAAAATTTGAGTTTTTAAGAGAAACATTTTGTAGTATTCCAGACCTGCAGCTAATTCAGGCATGTGGATAGTTTTAAAACCATATTTCACCCTAAAACTAACATTTACCTGCTATTGAATTTCATTTTTTTCAATTAATGAACACCTCTGTTGAGGTAAAAATAAAAACCTCTATGACAGACATGCACATTCCAAGCAAAACAAATTCCCACATTGGTCATATCCAAAAACGTGTGTCTCATTCTGCATCTTGAGTTCACCGCCTCTGTCAGGAGGCAGATAGCTTAGTCCCTCATGGACCTGTTATAGTTAAAAGGAGGGGGAAAGAATAATTTATGGTCCGATGATCATTTAGTACATTGAAAAAAAAATGACTGGGGAAAAACTAAATAATTTAGGTAGATAAATAGTGAATCAGTGACTAGGAATGCATAGGTTCCAAAACGACAATACAGAAAATGATTTCGGTTTCTTCTAACCTTTTCTTGTAATTCTACTAAAAAATAGTTGTGCGTTAACTACTGAGCTACTACTCTTATTTAACGGGTGTAAGCAACTTTCAACATTCAGTGTATTCATCAGAAAGGAAAATGAGTACACTCTAACAAACACATTAAGTTCCTACTATGTGCAAAGTAAGTAGCTTATTCTCATAAAAAATAATATCAGTGGAAAAGCAGGCTTTTACATTGGGAGGTTTTTTTTTTGTTTGTTCTTTTGGTGTTTTTTTGGCTCTCCTCCTATATTACTGACTTGTGGTCGAAGGGCTCACGTAGCTCAGTGAAACTGAGCTATGGTGTGCAAGGTTATCCAAGAGGGACAGGTCATAGTAAAGAGTTGTGTCCAAAAATAGTCCACCAGAGAAGGAAATGGAAAATCACTCCAGTATCTTTACCAAGAAAATGTCATGGAGAACATTAAAATGATAAAAGACATGATGCCAGAAGATTAGTGCCTCAGGTCTGCATGCTACTGGGGAAGAGCAGAGGACAGTGACAAGTAGCCCCAGTACTAATGAAGTGCCTGGGCCAAAGCTGACAATTAGCTCAGCCATGGGTGTATCTGGGGATGAGAGTCCAATGCTGTCGAGATCAGTATTGCAGAGGAACCTGGAGTGTAAAGGCTGTGAATCAAGATAAGATGATGTGATCAGATCCACAGAAAGTGGAAAGATTAAACATTGACATCTTGCGTGTCAGTGAACCTAAAATGGATGGGCATGGGTGAGTTTAATTCAGGTGATCACTACATACACTACTGTGGTTAAGAATCCCTTAGAAGAAATGGAGTAGCCCTCATAGTCAATAAAAGGCTAAGAAAGTAGTACAGTCGTGCTCATTTCGTACACCAGCACAGTTAGGCTTAAGATTCTGCAAGCTAGGCTTTAGAAGTATGTGCACTGAGAATTACCAGAAGAGCTTTCAAAGAGACAGAGGAACTAGAGACCAGATCACCAACATTCCCTGCATTGTGGAGAAAGCAAGGGAGTTCCAGAACAACATCTGATTCTGTGTCATTGACTCCACTAAAGCCTTTGCCTGTGTGGATCACAACAAAATGTGGCAAGTCCTCAAAGAGATGGGAAGACCAGATCATCTCACTTGGCTCCTTAGGAACCTTTGTATGGGCCAAGAAGCAAGTTAGAGCTGAACTTGGAACAACTGATTGGTTTAAGATTGGGAAAGGAGTATGACAAGGCTGTATGTTGTGTATATTGTCACCTTATTTATTTAACTTATATGCAGAGTATATTGTGTGAAATGCCAGGCTGGGCAAATCAAAGCCAGAATTAAGGTTGCTGGGAGAATTATCAACAATCTCAGATTTACAGATGATATTACTATGATGGGCAAAGAGAAGAATTAAGAAGCCTCTTGATGAGAGTGAATGAGGTGAATGTAAAAGCTGACATAAAGCTTAACATAAAAAAGAAAAACCCAACAAAACAAAGTTAAGATCTTGGTAACTGGTCCCATCACTTTCCGGTAAATAGAGGGAGAACAAATGGAAGCAGGGTCAGATTTCACATTCTTGGGCTCAGAGATCACTGCAGACAGTGACCGTAGCCATGAAACTAAACGACACTTGCTCCTTGGAAGGAAGGCTATGGCGAATCTGGACAACACACTAAAGCAGAGACGTCACCTTGCCAGCAAAGATCTGTATAGTCAAAGCTGTGGATTTTCCAGTAGCAGTGTGTGGCTGTGAGAGTTGAACTATATAAGGAAAGCTGAGTGTTGCAGAATTGATGATTTTGAATTGTGGTACTAGAGAAGACTTCTGAGAGTCCGTTGGAGAACAGAGACATCAGATCAATCAATACTTGAAGAAATTAACTCAGGCTATTCACTGGAACGTCAAATACTGAAGCTGAAGGTTAAATACTTTAGCCACATAGTGAGGAAATGGGACTCTGATGCTGGGGAAGGTTGAAGACCAAAGGAAAAGAAGACGGCTGAGGATGAGATGGAGAGATGGTGTCATGGAAGCAATGAACACGAGCGTGGGCAGACTTGGGGAAATGGTGGAGAATAGAAGAGCCTGGCGTCCTATCCCTTGTGAGGTCATGAAGAGTTGGACATCCCTGAATGACTGAACAGCAACTGTTTCTGGTGTGTAGGAAGAACATAATATTAAAGTCTAAGATTTTTTTAATTTTTACTTTTTTTGCTAGACATCCTTTAACATCCTCATAATTGTCTTGCCGATAGCATGGCTCTTCTTTATGGACACTTGTTCTAATCTTGTGCTTTTCAAATCTTTATTCCTTTTTTTAATTCATCAATTTATTTATTAATTTTTAGTCTTCAACATTCACTTCCATTGGATTTTGAGTTTCAGATTTTCTTCTCCTCCTTCTCCTCCTCCCTCCCTTTCCTCCCCCATTCCCAAGATGGCATGCAATCTGATATAGACTTGCAATCTGTTATAGGGCCTACTTATACATTCATATTAAGCCTGTTTTCACATTAGTCATGATGTAAAGAAGAATTAGAACTAATGGGAGGAACCAGGAGAAAGAAGAAACAAAACAAAAAAAACAAAAGAAAAGGAGAGCAAATAGTATGCTTCCATCTGCATTCAGACTCCATAGTTCTTTCTCCAGATGTGGACAGCATTTTCCATCACGAGTCTTTTAGAGTTGTCTTAGATCCTTGTAATGCTGAGAAGGGTTCAGTTTAACAATACTAGTCATCACATAACACGTCTGTTATTGTGTACAAAGTCCTCTTGGTTCTGCTCACTTCACTCAGCATCAGGCCATATAGGTCTTTCCAGGTTTTTCTGAAGTCAGCCTGTTCATCATTTCTTATAGCACAGTAGTATTCCATTCCATTCACATACCACAGCTTGTTCAGCCATTCCCCAGTCGATGAACAGCCCCTCAATTTCCAATTCTTGGCCACCACAAAAAGAGCCGCTATAAATATTTTTGTACATGTGGGTCCTTTTCCCATTTTTATGATTTCTTTGGGATACAGATCTAAAAGTGGTATTGCTGGGTCAAAGTGTATGCACAATTTTAGAGCCCTTTGGACATACTTCCAAATAGCTCTTCAGAATGATTGGATCAGGTCACAACTCTACAAACAAGGCATTTGTGTTCCAATTTTCCCACATCTTCTCCAACATTTATCATTTTTCCTGTTTTGTCATGTTGGCCAATCTGATAGCTGTGATGTGGTACCTCAGTGTTGTTTTGGTTTGCATTTCTCTAATCAATAGTGATTTAAAGCATTTTTTCATATGTCTAAAGATAGCTTTAATTTCTTCCTCTGAAAACTGCCTGTTCATATCCTTCTGAGCATTTATCAATTGGGGAATGGCTTGTATTCTTATCGATTCGACTCAGCTCTCGATACACTTTAGAAATGAGGCCTTTCTCAGAGACACTGTCTGTAAAAATTGTTTCCCAGCTTTCCGCTTCCCTTTTAATCTTGGTTGCATTAGCATTGTCTGTGCAAAAGCTTTTCAATTTCATGTAATCAAAGTCATCCATTTTGCATTTCATAACATTCTCTGTTGCTTGTTTTGGCCATAAGTTCTTCCCTTCTCCATAGATCTGATAGGTAAACTACTCCTTGCTCTCTTAGTTTGCTTATAGTATCAGTCTTTCTGTTTCAATCATGTGCCCATTCTGACTTTATCTGGGTCTGAGGTATAAGATGTTGGTCTAGGCCTAGTTTCTGCCATACTGTTTTCTAGTGTTTCCAGCAGTTTTTGGTACATCGTGATTTCTGATCCCAGAAGCTGGAGTCTTTGGATTGAACAAGTAGCAGATGACTATAGTCATGGACTGTTGTGCCTTGCATCCCTAACTTTTCCCACTGATCCGCCACCCTATTTCTTGGCCAGTACCAGGGAGTTTGGAGGATTGTTGCTTTAGGATACAATTGGGGACCTGTTAGAGTTAGGCCACCTTCCCTTGCATTTCTTTTCATTAGTTCCCTTGATAGTCTGGACCTTTTGTTCTCCCAGATGAATGTTGTGATTGTTTTTTGGTTTGGTTTTGTTTTTCCCTAGCTCTATAAAATAATTTTTTGGAGTGGTTTGATTGGTATGGCACTGAATAAGTATACTAATTTAGGTAGAATCGTGATTTTTATTGTATTAACTTGGCCTACCCATGAGCAACTGATATTTTTCCAGTGTTTTAGATCTGACTTTCTTTGTGTGAAAAGTGTTTTATCATTATGTTCATATAGTCCCTGAGCT